TATGAACTTTAGAAAGTGATTTTAGGAAATGAAGATCAATAATCCAACATAGCAATAAAAGAAGGACTTGCAATGAGAAGAAACAGATTAAGGAGATAAAGACGACATGATATAGCAATAAACTGGACCTAATCTTTGGAAGAAGAAATTAAGTTCTTATACAATATTTTACTATGATAGTGCTCAGAATTATTTTGACCAGTTTCACTTATCATAAACAAAATCTTATTACCATTTTTCCCTCTACATCATAGAAACAGGCAAATATAAAGTCCAAGTACCAAAACCAAGTACATTCACTTGTAATCAAATGTTTTACTTCAAAAATACCCACCTGTTTGAAATCATTGTACATAATCTTTCCAAGTTCAGGCTTCAATGTTGTAACTAAAAGGAAAAACAATAAATTAAGGCTAGAATAAAGGCTGGTACTCTCAAAATTGTTTTAGCATTACGCATAGAATGAACAATATTTCTTTTCTGTGAACAGTTTAATTCAGATTTCATCCTAACTTGTTGAAATGGAAGCTATGATTATCTTTGCTATTTATTTTTATTAATTAGTAATTAATTAGTAAGTCTCAATTTTTCTCTACTGTACTTCAAGGTGCATGGTAAGGAAGTTTTGGGAAGTGGGGCTCAGAATTTAGGTTTCTATTACTGGGTTTGTAGATGAAATTTTTCTAGTCCTTTCTCATTAAGTTATCCTTAAGCCTCACCAATTCTAGCCTCTTTCCTACGATTTTTTGCTTTTCCTCCTCTTTCCTTCTCAAGTCCCATGTATTACAACAAATATTGGCCATGCAATTTGCAGCAATTAGTCCAAAATTAACTGTACTTCATCAGAGTCTAATTTTAGAATGGCTTAATTTTATTTTCCAGGTTAATTTCATTCTGTGTCTTTTTGTTGAATGATGGCAGAGATCCCATGATATTCATTCATTACTCTTACCCTAAGTTTCTATTATATCTCATTTAGTTACTGCAATTAACTGATTAACTGATTTCTCAGATCCTTTTATGTCCCACACCAATCCATTGTTTATATTATAGGCAGATCTCTTTAAAAGCAAATCTAATAATTTTAGCCCTTGCTTAAAGGCTTCCAATTGCCTTTAAGATAGAAAGATCAAATACAGCCCACATGGTCTATGTGATATGGTCTCTACCTACATCTAGTCTCATCTCAATTCCTCTTTCTCTTACTTCTTATTTCTAGACACACAAATCTATGCCCTGCCACCACTAAGCCTTTGTGTACATGCTATTTCCTCTGATTAAAAGACCCTTCACCTCCCTCCTTTTCACTAATTAACTCATAAGTATTCTTCATATCTCAGTCCAAGCATCACACCTCCTCAAGGAAATTTAAAGCAGTCACCTACACTCTTTCTTAGAACCCTTTTATATTCCCTTTATTTATTAATGATATATATGCTTTCCCCTGCTAGTCTGTAAGCTCAATAAAAATCAGAACAGTAGCTGTTTCTGCTTACCAGTCTTTGTAATCCCACAACATAATGTGGTTCCTAGAAACAGATATTTTCTAAATGAATGAAAGTATCCTCTCAGCCTTCCTAGTATTTATCACAATACTTGATACAGAGTAGGTGGCTCATAAAATCCTAACTAAACCAAATAAATGATTATGCAACGGAGAAATAAATTAAATGCAACAAAGTAAGTGTCTAATAAGGACAAGAAACTTTGCTGAGGGGTTTAGAGGTTTCAAAGATTAATGGAAATACATGTATTTTATCTGCCAAAAGTTTTTAAACTAAGGCTATCCTCAGAGTTATTTTATTCATACTCAAAAGAATATTAGTCTTTAAAAAGTTTACCTCCATACATTAAAACATACCATCAAATTATACTTACATGCATAATCTGCAATTGCAGGTTTTGCATGAGAAACTCGACTTAGCAAAGAGGATTTTCCAGCATTTGGGAATCTGAAATGAGAAAATAAAAATGCACATTACAGCAAATACCAATGTTAATAAACTTGCTTATTTCTGAATTCCTAAGAATTCAAGTAGACTCCTCTCAAGTAACTAGGACTACAGGCACATGCCATCATGCCCACCCAGATAATTTTTTAAAAACTTTTTTTTTTTTTTGAGACAGAGTCTCACTGTGTTGCCCGGGCTAGAGTGAGTGCTGTGGCGTCAGCCTAGCTCACAGCAACTTCACACTCCTGGGCTCAAGCGATCCTCCTGCCTCGGCCTCCCAAGTAGCTGGGACTACAGGCATGCGCCACCATGCCCGGCTAATTTTTCTATATATTTTCAGTTGTCCAATTAATTTCTTTCTATTTTTAGTAGAGACAGGGTCTCACTCTTGCTCAGGCTGGTTTCAAACTCCTGAGCTCAAACAATCCACCCATCTCGGCCTCCCAGAGAGCTAGGATTACAGGCGTGAGCCACCGCGCCTGGCCTAAAAACTTTTTTTGTAGAGATGGGGTCTTGCTATGTTGCCCAGGCTGGTCTCAAACTCCTGTCCTCAAGTGATTCTCTCGCCTTGGCCTCCCAAAGTGCTGTGATCACAGGCACGAGCCAGTTTACCTGGTCAATTTTTTTTTTTTTGAAAGAATTATTTATAGTTGGTTGGCCTGCTTTTTAAACCAAATAAATATAAGATGAATGCCTTTCAGTGGTAAAGTATAATTTATTTGACTAATTTCCTACTGATAGACATTCAGGTTGTCTCCAATTTTTCACTATTATAATTAAGACTGCAAAGAATATGCATACAGCTAGAAAGACATATACTGTTAATAGTTATCTCTGAGTGGGGGGATTAATAGACAACTATTTTTTCTTTCTGCAAATAAGCATGTATTATTTAACTTTTTCCTAAAAACTTTAAACAATACAGTGACTATCTTTAAACTTCTGTATACCCCTTTGATCTCTTTCTTGGGATAAATTTCTAGATAAGCAAATTGTGAAGTAAAATATATGCTCATATTAAAGGCTTTTGATTTCATTGCTAAATTTCCCTCAGGAAAGTCCTACCATGTATGAAAGTACTAGGAATGGGGGTCATTTAAAGGATTCTTTCCTAAATCTCATTCACATATTTTCATTAAACTTATCCAACAAATATTTGTCAAGCACTGACTTTGTATAAGGCAACATACTAATCATCAGAAATACAGTAATGAGACAAATGTGATCCCTGCCTCCTTGAGGAAGCTCTTCTTTCAAAAACTCTGCCAGACTTTCATTTGGAATAATAATGTAACATTTTGCAAATATTAATTTTGAATTCTATAAAAATTTATAAGCTCTTTTAACAATTTTCCTCATAAAAAATCTTTCTGCAATGAATTTAAAATGTAATTATGTGAGATTTCTTAATGACTCATTTCTCCTGGAACATACATTATTTTCTCATATTCTGTTTCACTCAGGCTCTTGTAATTTTTGAAAAGCAAATTGCAATATTTGTCTCCAAGATTACTACTAGCTGGACTTGCTTATTTATTTCCAATATCCTCATATTTTCGTAATAATTATTAAGCACATAAAAAAGCAAGAAACTACTTCCAAGAAGATCAAAGTATCAGTAGAAAGAGGATGCTAATGGAAGAACAGATATTTGGGATTTTTCTTGAAAAGTACTTAATGAAAATTTTAGAGGCTGAAATCCAACCTATGCAAAGATCAGATTTGACAACAGTAGTACAAGCGTATTAGTTAAATGATAATTTTTTTCTATGGTTCAGTCCATTCCCAAAACCAGCGAAAAGGTTATCTACTTATGCCAGTATTCACAGTAGGAACTTTTCAAAAATAGTTGCCTAATTAAAAGCACTAGAATACATATGTTAAACATTCTACTTAAGAATTTTTTAAATTTTTTTCTCCCATTCTCTTTCAATATGCTTAAGAATCTTGATGCTTTTATTTCTAGTTGTAATTTCAAACCTACTTCTGAAGATCTTAGTATTTCACACAGTCATCAGTATGTTTACAACACAAGGATGATGATGGTAGCAGCTGCAACTAATTGAGCACTCATAAACGCAAAGCCTGTGTTCTGCTGTATATGCATTATCTTACCCACCAACATTTTAAGGTAAGCACTATCTCCATCCACTACTAAAGATGAGAAAACAAAGAAGACCAGCTAGCCAGCCTCCAGAGGATTTAATATCCTAGTACAAATAGTCTATTGTCTTGTCCTTGTCTGACTTTGGCAGCATATTGCCAAAGTACATATACAATGCACAAATTCCATAAACCAGAAATAATTCTAGCCCCAAATTACCATGTACATTAATTTTCTATTCATAGCCTGTCTCTTTGAAAGTATAATAGTAAAAATATGAATGATACTTACCCTACTAGGCCTACATCAGCTATAAGTTTTAGATCAAGATGAATTATTCGTCTCTGGCCTTTCAATGGTAAGAAATTTGTAAGTAATTTACCACCAAGACCTCCTTCAGCTACCAAAATTCTATCACCTTCTTTATTGAGTTCTCCTTAAAAAGAGGGAGAGAAATACAGCAAAGATCAATAAGTAGAATAAGCAGCATGATATTTTCTTTCAGAAATACATGCCACGAAGTTCCAATTTACAAATTCAGAGGGCTAAACAAAAGAATTAAATTTCTATTATAAGGTCTGACCCTAGAAAAACACTTAAAAGCAGTTGAAAAGAGACTAGTTATACGTTTTAAAATAATCTTAAATCTAGAAGTCAATTTTGAGCAACTTTTATGTTTTAAAATGCTCTACTATAAATTAGTTGTTGAAACTGTTAATATTAAAAAAAAATTATTCTTAAACTCAAGAGAGGGAAAAAGTGGCACAAGATGGCCAAATAGAAACCTCCAAAGATTGTCCCTCTGCACAAACATCAAATTCAACAACTATCCACACAAAGAAGCACCTTCAGAAGAACCAAAAATCAGGTGAGTGATCACAGTACCTGATATTAACATTCTATCAAGAAGGAAACAGGCACTGAAGAGAGCAGAAAAGACAGCCTTCCATTGCCTATGCCACCCCTCCCCCATTCCTGGCAGTGCCATGATAGCACACAGAGTGGAGAGAGACTTGTGTGACCAGCAGAGGGAGAGTGAAGTGATTCTGGGACTTTGCATTGGAACCCAGGGACACCCTGTCACAGCGGAACACAGCACAGGGCAGAATTCTGCCAGCGCCCATGGAGGAAGCATTTAGACCAGCCTGGCCAGAGGGAAATCCTCCACCCCAAAACCTTATGTCCAGCTAGTGCCACCACCATCTGACACAAAGCAGCGTGGGGCATGGAATAAATTTGTATGGCAGTCAGACTACAAATGATGCAGTCCTTGGGCAATTCCTGCAGCTGTGCTGGCTCAGAGCTAGTGCATGTAGGGTGTACATGACCCAGTGATACAGGAGCTGGGATGGCCAAGCCAGTGCCTTTGTCATGCCTCCCCCGATTCCAGGCAGTGCAGCTCGGGAAATCTTCTGTCACTTGGGGAAAGGAAAGGGAAGAGTTCAGAGGACTTTGTTTTACAACTTGTGTGCTAACTCAGCCGCAGTAAAATAAAGTACCAAGCAGACTCCTGAAGCCCCTGAGTCCAGGCCTGGACAGCACTTCCAGACCCACTCTGGGCCAGAAGGAGACACACTCTCCAGAAGGGAAGGATCCAGTCCTGACAGAATTCACCATCTGCTAACTAAAGAGCTGCTGAGTTTTGAAGAAACATCGCAAGTAGCCAGGCAACAGTCACTATGAGCTTTGGGTGAGACTCAGCTGGTTTCAGGTATGACCTGTGGTGACCATGACAGATGACAGTACTCACATCACTCCTCCCCCAACTCCAGCAGCCCAGCAGAGAGAGTGAGGGAAGAGAATGGGAGACTTTGCCTAGTATTCCAGGGAATCCTCCCACATCTTATCCATGTTGACCAAGGTGGTACCACCAGAAGTCTTCAAGAATCACAGCATTAGTAGGCTTGGGGCACCCCCGGTGCTATTATGGCTTCAGTGACCAAAGACTCAGATCACAAGACTCAATTCCCTTTGAATATCTGGAAAGCCTTCTTAAGAAGGATGGATTCAAATAAGCCCAGACTGTAAAAATTAAAATAAATACCTAACTTTTCAATGCCCAGACATCAACGAACATCCACAAGCATCAAGAATATGCAGGAAAACATGACCTCAACAAATGAACTAAATAAGGTACCACCAGTGACCAATTCCAGAGTAATGGAGATAGGTGACCTTTCAGACAAAGCATTCAAAAGAGCTGTCTTGAAAAAGCTCAGTGAACTTCAAGACAACACAGAGAAGGAATTCAGAAGCCTATCAGATAAATTTAACAAAGAAATTAAAATAATAATAAAAGATCAAGCAGAAGTTCTGGAGCTGAAAAATTAAAATTGACAAACTGAGAAATGCATCCAAGTCTCTCAACAGCAGAATTGATCAAGCAGAAGAAAGAATTAGTGAGTTTGAGGACAGGCTATTTGAAAATACACAGTCAGAAGAGAAAAAAGGAAAAAAAGGATAAAGAAGAATGAAGCATACCTACGAGATCTAGAAAATAACCTTGAAAAGGCAAATCTAAGAGTTATGGCCTTAAAGAGGAGGTAAAGAGAGACTGCGGTAGAAAGTTTATTCAAAGAAATAATAACAGAGTTTTCCAAAT